ATATATTGGAACAGTAGTTCTGAGTTTTGGCACATTTATTACGTAACAGTACAAGAGTCCACAGGTCTTCAGATGACACATTCAATAAACTAGACATTTGCTGAAATATTTTTATCCAAAGCTAACACGGTAACCACATGAGAAAACAAGAAAATGATCAAAGTTATTATAGTTTTCTCTTTTTTCTATTTTGTTCTGATTTTTGTTTAAATTTGCCCAACAACTGGTCAGATGTCTGTACTACAATGTTGCTTTTAGGCAGCATATAAAAACCAAAAATTACCAATACCATGCCCTTGTTTTTATCGAAATGTGCTTTACTCTAAAGAGAAAAGCACTGAACTGTTTCAACTGACTGTTTGCCTTTCTAGTATGCAAGCTCACACTCCATCCCTTGAGGTACAAACAGCCTACAAGCAGCACATAATAGGCAAGCTTTAACCAAGCACTGCTCGGTGCACCTGCAGTGCTGAGAAAACACTGATTCACTTTACGTCTTCCTGCAACTCTAAAAATTAGACTCAAATAAACTGATAAAGTGTAGGTGGAGCATTTGCCCACCTAAATGTAATGCTCAGACCATGTTAAATGAACAAAATCAAGATAAAAAAATCCTGAGTTGAAGAAAACAACATAATAAATCAGCTGAGGGTTTACAGCAGCAGCACACAAGCAAAGCACTGCTTTGTATTCACCTCAGCGGGCCAGGATGAGATGAAAGCAAAGGTTTCTGGGAGTTTGAATCATAGGAATGGGAGGTCCCCTGATAGAAGGAGATGTTTTTGAGGCTCAGTGTGCTTTAAAGACTCTGTCTGCTGAGGCAGGTATGGAGCCGTTACTGCAGACATTTTCGCCACAATGGAGGCCTTTGATAGGCTGACAAATTCAATTGCGCTTAAATTACAAAAGCTTGAAACCTCTTAGAGCACTGTCACATGTTAAACAGAAAATCATTTTCTTACTAGCATTTCTGTTAGGAAATTATAATATAAGATTCATATTTTATTACTGATTTATATACTGATTAAAATGTCCTCTAGGATGCTGCTGCTTCTTAAATCCAACAATTCTTTTTATATATTTTCACTTTAAAGCCACATGAAAGGAATAAAATTAGTCTTTAGATGAACAGAGAAATGTAAAATTGATCTTTTCAATATTGATCAAGAGTAATGCAATTCAGCAGAAGGGCCTAAACATTTGCAAAAACTCCAAGCAACAGTCAGAGTACAAACAGTGGGCCTCATGCAAGAACATGTTCGTATTTTTATCCTAAATTTATCTTACTTTTGTTCGTACAAAGGGTTCGTACGAACATGTCACGTCAGATTCAACAAACTCTTCTATCTTCAGGAAACG